TGGGAAACTGGAAAACCAAGTTCGAATTGCAGTCGAGTTCCTTGCATTCACTTATGCTCAAATGCCGCTGGGAAACGCATAAATCCATTTCTTCCGCCGCAGCTAAATAAATATAGATAAAATAAAAGGTTAAAATTTGGACATGTTTAATCTTTCCATCCTGATACACTACACACACATGCTTCCTGTTATTTGTGCTACGTCCTTCAGGACGCTGTGGATCATGTATCTGCACTACTTTGTAGCTTTTACCATTTTTTTTTTCATTATTATTCCAATTCCATGTTCTGCCATCCATTTATGTAAGCTTGTTAGCCAGACTACCCGCACTTTACACGGGTGATGGCTTGTACAGAACAAACCGCACTTCGTGGAAAGGCCGAATACATCGAACTGGCGCACAAATACCAACTGCATTTCTTGAATTCAGAGTTGCCATCCCTATAGATCGTTCGGAAAGCTGGCGGGAAGAAGAGATAGATTCATATCTTTCCAAGGGTTTCTGCACGTAAGTGAATGCATTGAACTCGGATTGAATTTGAACTCGGCTCCCCGATTTCCTCAACCCGAGCCGTTATCCATTACTTCATCGTAATGAAATATAAAATATCGCAATATATTTTCAGTCAGTTTTTGGAAAATGAGAAACATTATATAAATGCATGCATACAACAAACTATTTCTTGTTAACAGTTAATATATTTCAATCTTGAAAATGGCTAAATGTATAGCCGAAAGCGCTCGGATAAAAAGAACATTCGGACAGTTTTCATATAATTTATCATCTGAAAATGAAAATATTGGATCACATGAGATATTGTATAAAAGCACTTTGTCTGTAATATTCAATTAAATATGCATGAAAAAGGACTGGTGCCTAAATGCACACACACACATACCTCTGTGTGTGTGTGTGTGTGTGTGTGTGTGTGTGTGTGTGATTACCTTGAGTAAAAGATCGTCGCTTATTGATGTTACGTTCATCATCCCGACTCCAGAATTTCGTATGCGGATCTGTCCGTCCACTCTTCAGGGGTTATCAGCAATTTATATATATATATATATATAGATAGATAGATAGATAGATAGATAGATAGATTCCATTCAGTTTCCCTACGCTTGAAATGTTGCAATTAAAAATTTACCGTTGGCGATTTAGCAATCAGTGAACTTTCTATATATTTAGCATTAGTAGATTACTTTCACTTCTAATTAAAGCAGCATATTTTAAATCGATTTTATGGGAAGACTCATTGTGGCGAGCTCGTCCTGGGTATGACGATAAACTACGTCCAGCAGCAAGGCCCCCGATAAGGCGGTTTTGAGGAGTGTGGAACCACCTCTTAATTGCTGATATTCTCAGGTTCACCCAGACCCGGTGTGGTAGCACCTGTTAGGGTCCCACCAATGGGCAAATAGTTAACGCCCAAACTTGTGTACAAATAGGTTTTAATACCAGAAATACTTTGTAATAAAAAAAATATTACCAGCAATAATTTTTGAAGGAAAAATTATCAGCAATACTTAAAAAAATACCAGCAATACAAACAACTATATATTCTTTGAAAAAAACATGACCAGCTCTAGATTTCTTCAAGGAAAAATATTCTCAGAAATAGATTTTTGAAGAAAAACATATTACCAGCAGTAAAAATTTTGTCGGCATTAAATAACCCATTGATGTTGATATGCCGTAAAACAAACCAAACCAAACCAAATTATTGTGGCGAGCAACTAATTCATTGATACGTTCATATATATTCCTCATTCCCTCCACATATATAAATAAGAACATTACTTTATCCAGTGATCTCCTTTTAGAGAAAAAAAGCTTTATACAGATTTATTCTACGCTGTCACTGGATTGCCTAAATTCTCCTAATATATAAAAAATTATATATTATATTATCCCATATTTTATGTGTGCATTTAGTTTATTTTCTAAACTCCAGATTTGTTATTATTGATGCAACTGATAAAAAATATCCAAATTTGAAGTTTAGGAAATAAATTATATACAATAGTTTATACAAGTAAATGGTCTAAAAAGACCTAATTACAACTATATATATATATATATATATATATATATTATTCAAACATATATGGTTAAATATAACAGAAAACGAATGTCTATTATTTTTTATCATGAGCCGTTATAAACTTCGTATAGTGGCTTTAGTTTTGGGAGAAAATAAAGAGAAAACTGTCCAACATTTGTATATTTTTTATTATGCTGTTACTCGATGTAAATTTTCGGCTCACATGGGCCATCATCAGAGTGGTTATATAGACATTACAACAGAGATGTTCACCATCCCAGATGACACCTTATTATCTTTACATATAAGTTTGCGGAAAGACAATTTTGTCTTTATTTTCGCAATGAAAAATAAGCTACTATATTTAAGTTTAGAACGGCTCATGATCAAACATAATAGACATTTGTTGTCTGACCTACTTCGCCAGTACATCATATATATATATATATATATATATATATATATATATATATATATATATAAATATATATATATATATATATTAAAAATAATTATAATTTAGGCTCTACTTATGTATTGAGCACTGCTTTTTAAAGATAAAATAAACAATACTAAAGAACTTCAGGTTATTAACCTAACATGTTCTTTCCTATTTTTCTATATATTTGCACACACACGCACACAAACACGCACACACGCAGACACGCACGAACAAACGCACACAAACACACACACACACGCGCACACAAACACACACAAACACACACGCACACACACACACACATATATATATATATAACATCGGTAAAATCAAACTACAGATAACTAATATTATGTAGAGTTCAAATGCCCCTTAAAGAACTCGGTTCACGATCAAAGTGAACTCATAAATAATTATATTGGTAATTGTCATGGGTCCTTACCTATAACTACAGAATGAACTCTTCCTAACACTATGTATAATACGCCTCTCAAGAGAGAGGGTCGAATCGAGTCGAGCCGATAGTAGTTCACTCCAAACCAGACAGACAGTCATACTAACACCTTCCACATCTTGTATTATTATTTCGTGTAATATAACTTCATTATTTCTACTCTTGTGTTCGTGTTGTTTTTCCTTGGCCCTAACCTGGAGCATAACAGTAATACTAATACATGCCTATCTAGACGACTCACGTTACACCTACCCGAGTATAGCTCAAGTTGGACTCATTTGAACACGCACGAAAACCTAGCAAATTTTATCCCTAACATACTAGTAGAAAAGAAATGTATAATATCCTTATCCACATGTAAAAAAAGATTACAAATAATGGAAGCATTAATAATAAAAAATGAATAACCAACTCTCAGTAACATTAACTACGAACACGGCCACAATGTGCTGACCGTGTTTGGAAAATAAAACATTCCTATAATTTCAAAATATACATAAATATCACACATTCAGTTAAAAACAAAAATCTATCTTGATAATGGCTAAAAGACTAGCCGAATGCGCCCGAATATGCAGAACTTTTGTAGTTTTTACAAACTTAGTGCCCAGGAAAAAAATCTTGTACGAACACAAAAAAAAATAAATAAATAAAAAGCTTAATGGCCGTACCTTATCAATCGTCTTTAACGAAGCACACACACACACACACACACACACACACAATATACACAAACACACACACACACACACACATATATATATATATATATATATATATATATATATATATATATATATATATATATATTAGATTTCCAGCCTAACGTTATTTGGTTGTACTGCAGCTTTGGTCTGTCTGTAGCCTGAAGGTTTAAAGATTCGTGTTTACACTATCTTTGGTGATAAGCTCGCCTATAGTTATTTTGATTATTTTAACATCAGTTTTAGTCGCAGCCTTAGAATACTAAGGAATGTACAAATCTACCAAATATAAAGGTGTTCAAATAACTTGAACCGATTTTAAATGTGAATTAAGTTTAAGCGTGTAGTGAATTTTTTTATATTTCTTTCAGACTTGCCGGATATTTGGGCGATATTATTTTTCACACATAATTGCCATGACTTAAATAACATGATCCAATAGAGAAATGAATAAATTTTCACCAATAACACGGATTTATTTACTGCTGACTTTAATCAATTCTAATGAAACACCCTTATATATAATCCGTTTTATTGAAACACCCTTTATTAATGTTAACATGATCCAATATGGAAATAAATAAACTTTCACCAATAGCCCTTATTTATTTACTGCTGACTTTGATCCGTCTTAATGAAACACCCTTATATATAATCCGTTTTATTGAAACACCCTTTATTAATGTTAACATGATCCAATAGGGAAATAAATAACTTTTCACAAATAGCACTGATTTATTTACTGGTGACTTTGATCCGCCTTAATGGAACACCCTTTACCAGCGAAGATGATAAAAGGAAACGAGAGGTAAACTATAAACTATTGCCCTAGGATTTAATGTTCCTCAAAACCTTGATTTCAAACTTATGTTGGTTAAAAAAAAATAAACAGCCACCCTAAAAAATTCCAGTGTTGGATAGCAAATAAAGAAAACTGCTTTTCAGAAACTAAGCAAATATTAAGTGATAAGTAAATGTCCGTTGAAACATGGCTATGTAATATGGGATCTCCTATATGAATGTGAAGATTAAAAAGTCTCATTAGAGATAAAGAAAAATATTAAAGATGAGATTCGGCCGGAAAATGTTAATATTTCTGACCAAAAAGGACTCTTAGAACTTAGAATCAGAAAGAAACAGTTGAAATTTCTGCGACACATAGTGAGGAAAGGGGGTTAGGTGAATTTGATGCTCCGGGTATATATTGAAGGGAATAAAAGCCGGTAGAAAATGCGAGCAACTGTGTGAATGGATGGAAGAACAAGGCAAAAAGCGATATTAAATGGCTAATAGATACTAAGAGATATAATGAACGAGAATTTGTAGAGAGCTACATTGTTCACGTCCTAAAGGGATACGGAACATAGAAGAAGAAGAAGAAGAAGAAGAAGAAGAAGAAGAAGAAGAAGAAGAAGACTGAAAGGATATAATATATAAAAGATCTTCACTAACCAGCGTAATTGTCATGACATCGTGACGAAGTCGTTTAATATAATCAGAGATAATGTTATTATCCGCCTATTGTTATCAAAATCAGTTTGTCCCAAATATTTTATATCAAATCATTTTTTTAAATTTCCCGCTTATAGGATAAATTACGAGTATTATTTTAACGATTTATAAAAATAAATTTATAAAAGTAAATGATTAACTGACCCTGCTAAAATTTGTATATGCTTTGCTTAAAGTTATCTCGCCCATTATAAAATCAAATCAGAAAGCTCTGTCCCAGAGTAATCAGCGGAAGGGTCTTTAGACACACACACATATATATTTGTGAATGTGAGTGTGTGTGTGTGTCCGTGTGTGTGTGTATTATTACTTAAACGTTATTTTTAATAGATTCACGGATTTTAGTATTTGAGGAGACGTACAGGCCATCAGGTCGGTAGGCGAAAATAAATTAATATACTGTTTAATAAATAAACTAATCGTCTATTCAAATTAAAATAACGTTTAACTAACAATTATCTGTCAGATTAACATAAATTAAAAATTCATCTCTTTAGAAATATATATAGTCATCCACAGACAGACTGTTTTGCAGCTCATCAGTGGGGCTAGATATCCGATTTCCTCAAGCCGGGATCGAAACCAGACAGATGTGGTATCAGTCGGAGGATTTACCCCTGAGCCATTAGCAAGGACGAAGGCGCATTTAGACGTATTTATTTTTAGACAAGCACGCCACTAACCGGAGAATTCGATTCGTCTTAACGAATTTATATATATATATATATATATATATATATATATATATATATATATATATATATATATATATATATATATATATATATATATATATATATATGTATGTGTGTGTGTGTGTGTTTGTGTGTGTCTATACATATATATATGTGTGTCTCTCTCTCTCTCTCTCTCTATATATATATATATATATATATATATATATATATATAAGCGACTCAAGTCGGCTCCTCACAAAAGATTATAACCATTTCCGCCTAGAAAAATATGATTTTAAAAGCTATGCCAAATTAACTAGAATTGCAAAAATAGAAAAAAAAGAAAAGATGACCTTAGAAAAATACTAGAGGAAAAAGAAGACAAATGGATTTTGCGCCTTAAAACACTTCGTCCAGACAAACTTCACCACAAATCTAACAATTGATGGAATTTATATATTACCCCATAAACCAAGTCCTAGCCACATTTGTCAGCCACACAAGACAGACATGTTTGCAGAGGTGTTGAGGTCTCCCACTTATATACACACTCATACTAATATATACACACACACACATCACGCACACTCCCAAATAATTAAAAGATAATATACACTTTAGACACACATCCCATCCTCAGCAACCAACAAAACTGTCAAAATGACCAAGGTGGAAATTATTAAAGTCTACCGTCCACTATCTTAAAAACCACTTGAAATGGGCCGTTTGAGCAACACAAGGACTGACCAAAATTAACAATAAAAAAAATGATAACTTCAGATGAAGTACACTTTCTTCAGAAACAGACATTCATTCATGTAGTTCACTGCTACTAACAAGCAGGGAATTTTTTTCTCCTGATGATGATGATGCTGGCCGAAACTAGTTGAGGAATCTAACTGAAATAATAAAACAAAAAAATATTAATATACAACCCTGAAAATGTTAATTTTTAAATATTTTTATTTTTCAAAACACACACACACACATACACAAGCATACACACACACACACACACACACGCATATATATATATATATATATATATATATATATATATATATATATATATATATATATATATATATCGAAAACTACTATCACTTGATTCTTTCTCTGTTAGGAAGATCACCTGTCAGGCATTTTGAACGGGATATCAGGACTCATGTTCTAGCACTAATCCACGCCCACGTTTGTCAGTCGTAGCAGCCTGATGGCGAAAAACTAGTTGCAATTTCCATGATAGCATCTGACATAATGCCGGGATGCTGTAATCGGTGGTAGTACATTTACTGCTAAAGGCCTTGTTGAGGGAGGGGTACAAGTTGGCAGCGGGGAAAAGGAAGAGGAGAGATTGTGTAACAGGATAGTATAAAGAAAGATTGTGTTTCGTGCTTTGTTTAAATAAAGACATAATTTACATTTTAGTATCAGATAGACTGCTTAGAAAAATCATATCAAATCTTAAAGCAATCTTATCAAATCCAAATACTAAAAATCGCTTAAAAATATATATATTGACATTACAGACATTCTGTCTTCTCTTTATGTGCTGTATTGAAATCGTTAGATAAATGGTAATTTTATCCGAAATATTTTGCTTTTTAAATGTTTTGTTTTAATCATTTCATACCTAGCAAGGTGATAATGCCACTAAGGATACAAGTGATTAAAAAGTGAAAAGAAATGAGAAGACTTTAATGAGGAGAAGTGACTAAAAGGAACAGGGTTAAGTCAGACATAAGATGGCGATTTGTGTTGCATTTAAATTTTACAAATTGTAGGTAACAAGGAAAAAACCAGAAGGGAGTTCCATGGACGGGAAGTGTGAGAAAAAAAGATTAGAACAGAACTAACGGTCGCATCTCGTTAATTCAATAGTAAACCGGTGTTACATAGTTGCCTGTCTAGTAGCAAGCTTAAATTCATGCAGACGAAGAACAGGCCAGATCAGCTCATCAGTAAGATTGTAATAAAAATATCTGTAGAAAAGAAAGAGCGAATTCACGTCACGTCATTGAGAAAGTGAATGAAGTCGAGATGCCAGATCTAGACCGATTATATTACCAATCCTTCTTTGAGTTTTGTCCAGAATCTCGACATATATAGCCAGACTGCCAGACCAGATATGACAGAAATACAGACGAATGGTTGATTTATAAATGTGCAAGAAGGTTTCAGACGTCTGGAATTGTCTGGCACGACCCAGTGAAACAACTTTTCTAGCAGTAGACATAGCAATGTTAAGAACTACAAAGTTTTGGCCTGAATATGAAAATATACTTTGAGATACAAAGAGTTCTTTGAGTTTTGAAGTATTGGTATTTTATCTCTATATTATTTTCTTGACTTTACATACATATCAATAAATCAGTCAACACACACACACACACATACACACATATATATATATATATATATATATATATATATATATATATAACGTATTTGACTGCATATAGGAAGCATAGGTGTATAAGACGCACGCCAGTTTCAGTAGGGCAAATCAAAGAAAAAATATTAATTAGTAAAATTATTAGTAAATGGTACAGCCTAGGCTATATTTATGAGATATTATTTAGGTTCCTTGATTAAAATTAAACAAAAAATAATAGGAAAAAAAGAACACGAGGCTTTAAAAAAAAACTTATTATATCCAAAGGTAAGAAAACAAGATAAAAATCAAGCAATTATTACAATTACAAGCAAAATAGTTCAGTTACTATTAAAATTCAGTTAAAAATTTTCCTTTGTATGATCTGAACAACCTGTGTCTTGTAAACGTCTTAGTGGAATATAAAAATTCTGATTGTATTTATAAAGTTTCGTCCGGGGAGGTAGACAGACCCTGAACTTGTTTATACCACATACATCCCTTGTTGGGGGTGGGCTGTTAAATATTAACAGTCGAACCTTCTTCATTACTGTCGAACTCTTTGCCTTAAGCAGAGAGGAACCCAGACGAGGCTTTGCCAAAGGACAAAGTTACGTTGGGGGTGGTAGACAGGCACTGAACCCGTTTATGCGGGTTCTAAAGGAATATTTTGGGCCTAGCCTACGGGCTCGCAGAACCCACGGTAAACTCAGCCTTGAGCCACATATGTCCCTCGTGGTGGGGATGGGCTGTTAAATATTAAATGTCGAATAGATTGTTCAACCGAAACTGGATTTTCGGAGCTGCTGTCTGTCTGCCTTTGGGCAGAGAGGAATCCGGACGAGGCTTTGCCGAACGGCAAAGTTTCGTCTGGGGACGTAGACAGGCCCCGACCCGTTTATGCGGGTTCTACGGGAATATTTTTTGCCGAGCCTACATGTTCAGGGAACCCGCGGTAAACTCTGCCTTGAGTCACATATATCCTGGGGTGGGGGCTGTTAAATATTAACAACCGAATAGATCTGTTCCAGCAAATTCTCTGCAACCGGGCAGAGAGGATACCCAGACGAGGCTATGTCTCGGGAAACAGCTACTCAACCCCGTTCTTATACGGGGTCTACGGGGAATTTTTGGCCGCGCCTACGGGCACGGATAGCCCCACATTAAACTCGGCCTTGTGCCACATCCTACCTCGTAGAAAAGCTGGTAAATATAACAGTTGAATAGATTGAACGCTGGGTAATCCGACACACACTCACTTGTCGGGTAATACTCTTCTGTTGTACTTACTGTTTAATATATGATATATCTGTAACACTTGTTTTGTTATGTCTTTAAGCATTTATTGGTCACAACAGAATGAACATTCTTGAGAGTGCTCCTATTAAAACTTATCAAAACAAATCTGCAGTCAGCAATTTTTTCCCAATATTTCCATTACTGAAAGAATTACTATTTTCTCAATTCAACATACATGACTTTAAAAATGTCAAAATGTTAAAATTCATAACCTCGTGTTATTTAAAATATATAAGATATA